CAGTTCTTAACTATCGCGCCACTCGGCCGGCCCCTGAATGGTTTTTGAAGATCAAATGAGACACGACATCACTTTATAAACAGTAAAGTCTGATGCAAATGCTAGTTGTCATTGCTTTTGTTATGTCTGGGAGTACTAATGGTTTTTCTTTTCCATTTAAAGAACGTTAGTAATGGAACGTTGAATTATTTTCTTTGCATGCACACAATTTTCCAGTGGATTTCGTGCAGGTTTCTCATATACGCATACCAAGATCTATACATACATGGCTGAAAAAAAATGTACATGAAGAAAGATTACCTGTTCACTTAACTTGTATGGGTATGAGTTACACTATGTTAATTTTGATCACTTGATTTACTTTTTCACAGTATGTACAAATAATGAAAGTACACTGAAGTCCATCATGAAGAAGAAGGATGGCAACAAAGATTCAAATGGAACAAAAAAGAATCTTCAGTTTGTTGGCATTAATGGAGGGTAAGGAAAGATGGTGTAACACGCGTGTATCCATGATCTGTCTGTCTCCTTTGCCTCCTGCCTACTCAAGTTATGTTTAAAGGTGCCTAGTGTGGGATGCTGCCACATCTTGGTGATGGAAGATTCCCTCCTCAGAAAGGTGCATTCGGGCTTCTCTTCTCTTCTCTTCTTGCTGTCTTTAAGAATGTGTCACTCTTGAGAGGATACCTGATGAAGCTGAACCGTTTACATCTTCTCACCTCTGATCTGAAAAAAGTAGTCTTCAACAAAAGCAGCAGGTTTCCTGCACTGTTGGACAACTTGTACTTACCTGTAGCAGAATTCAGAAACAAACAGAAAGACTGGGCACGACTCCATGGGCCAGTGATAGTCATCCACTCCTTCAAAATGGGTTGTTTTGCTTGGCTCTTCATGTTTGCAAACAAAATTTTAGGGTCTTTCACCCAAAGGGTAACCTAGCCATGCCACCAGTTCTTTGCTTTCTGAATATAATGTTTATTAGTTGTTTGTTCCTTCTCTTCTAATTGGCTCACGTAAATAGCTAAGCCTGTTTGTCCTCTTACGATTAAATTAAAGCAATTTATTAACCGATACATGGCCTCAACAGGAAAGCAATAGTACAAAGTTAGTTGAAATACTGTTTATAGTAAAGTGTACCACAGAAATGTAACTTAACACTGACTATTTTCCAAATATTTTAAGCTTTATTAGGTGTTGTGGCCCAGAAGGTTTTGGAGGGCATGTACTTATATAATCTGTTCACTTTGACCCTGGGAGAACTAATAGAACAAAATAGGAAGAATGAAAGGGAACAGAAAAAAATGAACAACTGCAGACCTGGTTTATAAGATGTTTCCTCTGATTTATATTAATCCCGAGGTACTCTCTCTATATAGTATATATACAGAGGGTGCCGGTAAAAAATGTATACACATTTTAAGAAAGGAAACAACTGTATTAATTGTAATACTCAACATATACCCATAACAAAAGATGAATACAAGTCATGTGTATACATGTTTTTGGCACCCCCAGTATATATATTTTTTGTAAGTGGTAGATGATACCAATTGACAACCCAGGTTACCCCTCTTAAGCCAGAGCCCATTCCAAACCACCAGGCTTTTAAATAGACCTTACTTTGAACCGCTCAGTGCAGGGTCTGAAACCACTGGTGAAATTTCTGGAGTCAGTCGGCAGCTTTCCCATCATAAAAATTTCTGTCACTGGGTCTTTATGGGCACACCGTGCATCTCCTGAACTCCCAATTGCCACCTAGGTATGAAACAACTTCAAGTGATGATTCCAGCTCAGAGGAAAGCTCTTCTTCCGAGTCAGATGACGAGTGTGATGTCATTGAGTGCCCTCCTGAGGAAGAGGAGGAGGAAGAGGAGGATGAAGACACTCGGGGAATGGCGGAAGGGCACCATGCAGTTAATATGGAAGGTTGCAAGTCTGCCAGGGTGGAAGATGAAATGCAGGTTCAAGAATGTGAACCTGAGAAGGTGGAAATCAGAGAGAGGTGTGGTACATTCCCCTTCCCTCCCTAAACCCCTCCCACGTTTAATGTACTTTGGGAATAGATTTGGCCAGTGAGGAGATTTTGCAGTTTTATCTATTTGTTTGGTCTTTCCAATCTCCAAAAAGGAGGCTAAACTTGATACCTCAGAGATGCATAGATCTTGTCGTCATGCCAATAAGTACAGGTGCAGAAGGTGGTAACTCCTATATCTTGATATCTGATCACCTTTATTTTCTTTGACTGTTGCTATCTAATTGTATATGTGGAGCCACCATCCACAGAACTATTAAGTGCCACTCAAGTTTCCGTTGTTTGAACAACCCACCTTATATTTCAACTCATGTTAGAATTTTTGGTGACCAACACATTCCTTTTAAGGTTTCAGATTTTACTATTAGCGATTTATTTGATACAGGTGTGAGTACTGTTATTACAGGATCATTGTGTGTGAGAGGAACAGTTTTTTGGCCTCAACCAAAGATCACATTTACTGTAAAAATGATGTAATCAGTCACATGTCTATATTTTGTTGCTCACTGAGTAATCGGGAACACCATAAGAATGGATTTGGGAATATCGTAAACAACAGCGGAAATATGCAATAAGCACTCTGGTTGGCTGAAACATGTACCTAAAACTGAAATAAATTTTAAAGACTATTAGCAAATATTGACTCAATGCCTATAAAACAAGAGAGAATAGAACAGATGGAAATTTCAGTATGGCTTTTCACTATGTGAAGTATAAACAGAACATTGTAGAAAGCTTACCTCTATTTAATTTGGCAAATGAAAGTTTAACTGCATTAACACAGGTAAGTGTTTTTAGTTTATGTCTCCCAAGTATTTTCAAATGGCTCAATATCTTGTCTTCTGGGTTTTGTCACAGCTTTATTGAAATATAACTTATATATCATATGTCATCTGGGTTTTAAGTTTCTATTTTCATGTGCATTAAACAAATACTTCCTGAGTCACCAAATGTAAGTTCAGTTGTGTGGTTCATGGGTCAGCATAATAGGTATGCGGTAATGCAGACAGACCTCTTCAACCCCTTAAAAGTAAAAAATATTTTTAAGAACTTAGAACAAAAGGACTGAAAAATCTCCAGATGTTATTCTGTAATGTAATAAAGGTCAAACTGGTGAAGCCAGAAGCTACGCGCATGACAAGACCTGAGCTCTGAGGCTGAGCTCTGTTGGCTCTGCGTGGTAGCATCAATCCTTAGATGCCTGGAGACTCCTGGACTACCTCCAGGCGATCCACTTGTACCACGATGACCTGCCGAGCTCAACCTAGAGCCTTTTGTCTTTTAAAGGGTTATAGAGTTTGAAGTGAAAAATGCCTTTCCTTTTGTGGCCAATCATGAGCTCTCTTTCTTTTTATCTTTTTCCCCCTTTTAGGTATGAATTAAGTGAAAAGATGTTGTCTGCATGCAACTTACTGAAAAATAATATAAATGACCCAAAAGCTTTGACCAGCAAGGATATGGTGAGTCTGACCTACAGACACTGTCCCCAAATCTGTCCAAAGTGCTTGAGTGAACACCGTTGTTTTTGTTGCCAGCATGCTCCCCGCCTCCCCCGAACTATTTCTAGCATGTGTGGGCACAGTGAGCATGGTGCTGCCCCGCTCACTGGGTCACACTGTGAACCTTGCCCTCAGGCCCAACTTCAGATATCCCTTCCCCACCCTGTACTTTTCTCGGGGGTGGCGCCTCTGTGGGGCATATACTTGCACATGGAAGAGAGGGCTAATTGCAGTCATCCGTAACCTTTCTACATGTTCTGCTTCTGCTTACAAAATCTTGTGATCCAGGGAGCAGAATCCCAGAATTCTTTTTTTTTTAAGATACCATATGTTTTTAAAAGAACCTTATCTGGGCCAAGGTCAGCATTTGTTTTAATTGTGAAACTGCATATTATGTTCTGATGTGGAATGCTGGCAGCCACTATTTTTAAACATGGAAATAACTGCGCCTGTTATCTTCTCATAGTTTGAGAGATTCAGAAGCAAGCAGCAGAGACATTGATGGTTGCCATAGTAAGCATGAATGGCACAACATAGGACAGACAAATATTTGTATGACAGTGGTGAACCTGACACCATTGCTAAATATGTCGCTTTCTCATGCACTGGTGAAGTTTCGATGTGCGGCTGCCTTCGTAGGTCAGACCAACCCTGTGCATGGCGACTCTGTTCAGTGCATTGAGAAAATGCACTGAGGACATGTAGCTTTTCATGCTGTTTTAGATAGCATTCTACATTTGAATTTTTGCATATTAGCAGTAGATTTAATGCGAAGTTTTATGCTGAATAACTTAAGCCAGCAGCTAGTGAGACAGTTGATTTCTCAGGCTCACAAGATTATAGAGTTACGAAGCCAAACATTTTTGTTAATTGAATATTCATTCAGTGAAAACGTATTGACAGTATTGTGCTGTGAAGAGTAGTGGATGTGTGAATGGTGGTAATGTCGGGGGCCATATAGCCCTGTAGGACCCTGAATGTTTAGCAGTAACAGAGTTAGGACACCCAGATGACATAATTTCCCTTCCTTCCATGTGAGAACTCCATAGAAATAGAAATCTGAATATGTAAAAGAGTGAGCAGAAGAAAATAAAATAGATGAATTATTTTCTTGATCAGGACCCTTTTCACGAGTGACCAAAAATAAGATTGAATGGGTTAAAACTGAAAAGTCAGTAGCAGGAAGATAGAAATGGAAGCTCTACTATCCCAACCCCACCTCTCTATAAAAAGAGGACCTCTTGGGTTCTGATGCTTTTGACGTAGGCTTTCCATCTTTCTCTGATATATTCTTAAACTTTTAAAGAGCAAGCAAAGCACAAATAAATGGCAAACTCATATAAAAGAGAGCCCTTAACAAAAAAATATTGTAGTTGTTCCGCATCACCAGCTCTGGCTATGCCCAGCCTGCCTTTCACTCCACGTGGCCCACGTTTGACCTGATCATCCATGAAACACATGCCATGTTTATGTGTCCGTACCATAAGAGGAGGGAAGTGGGGCTGGCAGTGGAAGGCAGATAATCCTCACGGGAAATGTAATTTCTCCCCGATCTGCTATTTCTTCCCTTTCCATGGCCGCACATTTGTATTTGGGATTGGAGTTGGTTACACGCTTGTGGTCTCCCTAGCCTAGTGCTGTGGAAATGTTGAAGGAGTCGAGGTTGGTCCTGGTAGGTAAGAAGCACCATAATTAAGTGTGGGTTGAGTATTTTCTTCTGTCCCAATTACTATGAAAATCGTTTGCAAGACCAGCATAACTACATAATATTAATAGTTCAGTAATAAATAGAGCCATGCCTGAGGGTTTTACATGTGTTGCCTCATTTGTTCTCATCACAAACACTGTGAAGGAAAAGTATTTTTCTTGTCCCCATTTTGCAGATGAGAAAACTGAGGCACAGAATAAATATCTTTCCCAGAGTCATACAGTTCATCAGTAGCAGAGCCAGAATTTGAACCTTGGTGGTATAGCTCTTGCACAGTGCTAGAATGGCCTGTTTTTGAGAAGTTGGCATATGTGTGTGGCTTGAAATCAGGAGAGAGGGTCCAGTGTTGAGTGGGAGGCTTCCTTGGAGCTCGGGATTTCGTTCATTGTTTCTGAGAGCCAATTCTAACTGCATGCACTTTGACTATAAAAGGCCTGGTTTCTTGGGCTTCGGCTAGGTCTCAGAAAGTCTATAAATAGAAGAACTAATGGGCACTCGCTCGGTGTTTTGGCAGAGGTTCTGTCTGAACACCCTCCAGCACGAGTGGTTCCGCGTGTCCAGTCAGAAGTCAGCCATCCCAGCCATGGTGGGGGACTACATAGCTGCCTTTCAGGCCATCTCCCCAGATGTCCTTCGTCACATCATCAACATGGCCGATGGCAATGGCAACACGGCCCTCCATTACAGCGTGTCGCACTCCAACTTCGAGATTGTGAAGCTGCTCTTGGATGCTGGTACGTGGGCTGTCCCGGTTTCCTCTCTAATAGCACTCAGGCTGTGACTCACCTCCAAGACGCTGGGCTGATCCGCCCCTCACTTCTGTGACCATCCTGAAATCCTTCTCATTGCTTGTCCACATGATGTGGCAAGGATATCGTTCTTGACTCATCGTGGGAGGCTTGACATTTACACAAAACTGGGTGACACAGATTCCAGCTCTGTTTTGAAAGGAGGCTTTGAGGATATTCTTGCTGCAGTTCAGCGGCACTCAAGTGAGGTGTATCCCTGGTAATAAGCATGACTCATGTTCCGTCCTCAGCTGAATCAAACAGGCTTGGCGGGTTTGCTCTCAGGAGAACAGAGTGCTATGCGTGGGGCCAGAACCACAGCTTTGGTGTTTATGGGCTTCTCGATGTGTGCTTGTTCCATGACCTCCTCCCAACGGTATCGTGGAGGTGTGCAGTTAGTCAAGATGGGGACCAAGCAAAGCCACTGTTACAGGTTATGGTAGGATCATCTCCTTTCCTGCCAGGATACACCCAGTTATTGGGAAATCAGCAAAGAGTGAAGAAAGTGTTATTCTTATAGCTGCACCATAGCATTGATTCTAGTGAAAATTCTTGGAACTTGCCATCCTAGATTTCATGTTTAATACATGTATTAAATATGAAATGAGAGAGTGGTACATAGAAGGATCCCTTTGCAAAACAGTGAACTTTCAACTTTTTATTAAAATGGAACAGTCCATAGAGTCCCCAAATCACTTTTATTTATTTTTGAAATACCTATTTTTACTTTATCAGTATGTGACTGATACAGAATTCACAGTACCTCTACCTAATTAATGAAAACACAATATGAACACCTAATCTAGAATATGAATATAAAATTGTCCAGTTTTCCCATACTGCTGCTTGACCCAACTGTCCAATTTTTTCTACTCTGTTTTGGGGATGTTGGATTAATGCAGAGAAGAAATTAAGCAGATTTATCCTTTTTTTTCTCTTCTAAGTTTCTCTTCTAAGTTTACTTGTTCCCAGTGTAGGGGCCATGGTAAGAGTAAAACTGCTTCCATCTTTCAGGAAGGGATTCCAGACCTCCTTCCCTTTAGATTTTCCAGACTATAAACAAAGTTGGTGATACTGTCAGCTCACGTTAGTGTTTAAAGAGGGAAGTAACTAACATCCAGGAAAGCTAATAATAAGATTTCAGGATTACTCCTGAAAGTAACAATTTAATCTATCCTTGGAAAAATTGTGTGGACAAGATATTTGGGTAAATTAAATGATTTTAAGTCCATCGTTGGATGGCTTTGGTTAATCACTTTCCTGGATTTACTTAACTTTTTACTGCTCACCATTCTAGGCTGAGATTGTGACCCCATAAAGTGCGTTTATGAATCTGCAATACTGCAGAATCTGTGAGGAACTGAGCATCACAGATACCTGCTTCTGCATCACGCAGCTTTTTCTTTTTTCTTTTTTTTTTCCTTTTTTACATTAAAAAATATGCACTGTTGTAAATGCTATATGTCCCAGTGTACAGTTGTTTTAGAACTCAGGGAAAGTTTTAAAGTTATCTTCTCTTCTCACTATTTATGATGTAAACATCCTAAACATCTTAACTGGACTTGGTCACACATAAAAAGACTCTTTCCTACACTCTCCATTCATTTCATTTTATTAAAGTGCTGAAGGAATTTAAAAATACCTGGAGGATAATTTAGCCCCAGAAGCCTCTTAAGGATTATTTATAGGAATAGAAAAGGCCTGGTTTATAAGGGTCTGCTAGTCCCTGGCAGTTTCTTAGGGGACTTGACTGCATTTGTTCTCAAACTACAATTCCTAGAGTAGGTGTCATGTAATTGAAATTCTGCTTCTAAAGGCCTCAAACAAGTCATATTAGCAAACACAGGGTCTCAGACTGAGTAGTGGTTTATAAGTTGATAACGCCATATTCAGAGTTCTGTGCACAAGCCTTTACAAATCTCTTTGACATGTAGCTCTCACTGCCTTCTTTACTCCAAAACAGTGATTTCCTAAACACAGATTAATGTCTAAATCCCATGTGACTGTTTATTCTTCACAGCAACTATTACTTAGAACAACCTCGCAGGCCAAAAAACTATTGTAGTTCAACCGCCAGTTGCAAACAAGACATGCTATGAAAGCTCACTGTTACTTCTGGCCACATAAAATAGAAAAAAAAAGAAAACAACCCTTTTTTTTGTTTGGTGTAATAACATCTCTCACATTGTTTTCCACATCACTCCCGTACTTTGACCACCTGAGGCCATCTTATTGGGTCCTTCCAAATGCCATCCCTTATGATGTTAGGAGATGGCTTCTCCCTAAAGAGACTCATGTCTTCGCAGACGTGTGTAACGTGGACCACCAGAACAAGGCGGGGTATACCCCCATCATGCTGGCCGCTCTCGCCGCTGTGGAAGCGGAGAAGGACATGCGAGTGGTGGAAGAACTCTTTGCCTGCGGGGACGTGAATGCCAAGGCCAGCCAGGTGAGCGCATATGCTTCCCAGGCTCATGTTCACACTCCCTAATCCAGCTCTGCCCTGCACGGGTACCCACACCACACTTCCCACCCCTGATCACTTATTCACTGGCCCAGCCCTGAGTCCATGTGGCTACCTGGCCGTCCTAGGTGACCAAACACACTGACAAAATACTGGCTTTAACTTCACATGGGGAACTTCTCCGTCCTATGTCCTGTGTCTCTTCAGTTTGGAGCAGTGTGCACAGAAAATGTAGAACAGCCTGCATGTAAGCGACTGGGTGTCCCCAGCATCTACAGGGTGACTGGTGCTTCCTGACTGTTCTGTATATAGTGTCTTCATACACCGAGGGCCCCAGATGTGTTCAGTTTGACATTTTAACCATCTTCGGAACTTTCCAGCCCCTTGATGTAATGAGACAGATCCTCCAAGCTAAAGGGAGACACTGACTCATTACTGGATGATCTAACTTAGCTCATGGCTCACGAGAAACTGGTTGCTCTATGACTGCCAGCACCCGGCCTCAAGTACTTCCCTGTCAACCTTTTGCCCTCTGTCATCACACTCCGTCCTCTCCTTCCCCGCAGCGCAGCCCCACTGCAGGTCACACCCTGCCAGCCTGGTATGTACTTCTGAAGTCTGCTCTCATTTCTTCCCACAGGCAGGACAGACGGCCCTCATGCTGGCTGTCAGTCATGGGCGGATAGACATGGTTAAGGGCCTGCTGGCCTGTGGGGCTGATGTCAACATCCAGGACGATGAGGGCTCCACCGCCCTGATGTGTGCCAGCGAGCATGGGCATGTGGAGATCGTCAAGCTGCTGCTGGCCCAGCCGGGCTGCAACGGCCACCTGGAGGACAACGTAAGCTGTCTCCGTTGGGCTGCCATGACAGGGAGAGAGCCCTGCAAGTGCTGCGTGGCAAGGGGGGGCAGGGAGCAAATCCTCCCTGATTCTCCTCGAGGATCCGTGTTGCCATTCAGGCCCCCTCCCTTCATGGCCCAGCTTGGCAGCATCTACTGTGTGCCAGCTAACACTCCCATTAATTAAAGCCAAAGACAGAGAGATCCATAGGCCTCTCCCCAACATTTTCTAAAAGGGAAGGTGATGGCCGTATACGAGAACCAGCAGATTAAAGGAGAAGGAGCAGATTTACAATACAGAATCAAATTCAGTGTAGGCAACTTCTAAATCCACTAAGAAAGGGCCAGCCAGGTCCTCGGTCCATTGGAAATCTGGATTACTAGCCGTTACACGCCAGGGTTATTATTGGGTGTCTAGAAGCGTTGTTATTACAGTAAAGTACTTTCCCACCCCTTTATTAGAGTCCATTGGAGTGACTAATGTGTGATGTTTCATCAGCTAAGGGACCCAGATTATCATGGCTTCTTTAAGTACATCTTCCCACTCCTGCTCAAGACTAATTTCCTCTCCCATTCCCAAGCTGTCCTCATTCCCAAATAATCTCCTTGACTGGGAAACCTTCTAATGGAAGCTGCTCCTTCTGCTGTCCCCAGGCCAGAGGGGAGCAGCACTGATAGGTGAAGGCACAGGAACTAACACTGGAGTGGTGATGTGGTTCCGAAGTCCGAAGGTCATAGAGGTCGGGCTGGGTTAGTTCTGGTTTTGAAAGTTTATCTCCATGGAGCACAGGTTTGAACCAGAGCTTCCTTCAGCTCAAAATACTGAAAAGGTAGAGGGGACACAGCCTCCTTTGCACCACACCCCAGAGCCCCGTGGGCCCATGCCAACAGGAAGAGCAAATCAGTGCGGGTATTTACTGGCACAAAGGGACTGATGGCGTCTGCAGGTGCCATGATGTCCCCAGGAGCGTCTGAGCTGCAGGTGTACCAGATGCCCTTAACTTCCGCTGGAGCAGAGCGAGTTTTCAACCTACCTTTCCTACCTTTCCTTAAGAATAGTTTGTGTTTTGTGTGTCTTGTTTTTTGTTTGTTTGCTTTTACTTCTCCTCTTCTCAGCAATGAACAGCTTGCAGATATAGTCATAAGAGGCCATAGAACCACGGTGACTTTCAGAGATCCTGGTCACCTCAGCTACTTGCCTATTTCCTTATTCTTAAAGGAGTCGGAGGGCATCCAAGCGGCCTCTGGAAGAAAACAGGTCTCCCAGAATTCACAGAGGGGGAGGGAAGGACCATAAGATTCAAACCACACAAATTGTTCCCTGCTGCCCGTGACCAAAAGGGAGTCCTTATTCCAAGACAGAAAATAAGTTGTTTTTTGCCTTGATGCTCCTTTATATCCATCTAATTCCCTGCAGTTTAATGGAAACCATTTAACTGAAAGTTTTTCTTTCCCATGTTTAGTGTTTCCCTCTTATTTCCATAAGATACATTTCTGCAAGCCGGCAGGAGTTAGGGCTTCTACATCGGTGTTCCTCGTGGCATTTTGCAGGGGTGGTTATGGCTGTAGGATCAGCTCCCTCTCCAAGAGGAAAGTTAAGAGACCTTTGGCAAATTGCAGGATGTCAAAGCATACATCATGGTACTTGCCTGCTCATTTGTAATTATAAGAAAAAAAGAAATGATGCCCCCCATCCTCCACCACCCCCCCCACCGCGCCAGCATCTCCTACTGCCCCATGCTGGCAGGCACAGTGGTTGAATAAAAGCTCTTCACAGGCAGCCTTCCTCTGTGGAGAATCTGCAGTGTGCAGATCTGCAGACGAACCCCTGGCGAGGCAAAGACAAAGGGAACAGGTGATTCTTGACTGTGATTTCCGTAGGGCAGAGGCTGTGCCTCATCCATCCTTTTATTTAGGGCTTAGCACATAGAGGTCCAGGAACGTTTCCTAAAGGACTGAACAAATGGCTAGATTCAGGGAACTTGATCAATTACTGGAAGGTGTTTTGTTTTGCTACCTTTTGGCTGTCTGGAAGTTTGAGAAATATAACCAACCTTGCTTGTTCTTTTCATCTTCAGGATGGTAGCACTGCGCTCTCAATCGCTCTGGAAGCAGGACATAAGGACATCGCTGTTCTTCTGTATGCCCACGTCAACTTTGCAAAAGCCCAGTCTCCGGTCAGTGTCGTGCATTTGGCATTTGTAAACAGGCTGAAATCCACCAGGCTGGTGGGCCCCCTTCTTCTGCGAGTTGATAAGAGACGCAGGTTTTATGATTTTGACACTGGTAGGTTTAGTCTGGAACTTAAGAGTTCATCATTTTTCCCCCACCCAGAAGTCCAGGAGTGCTGATGGTTAGCACAGCAAAGGCTGGACGCCTGGCTTGTCCTCAGGAGACAGACACTCTCACACTTTCACGTGAAGGGTTTATTCTGGGCAGAATTACCCAAAGGCACATCCTGAGCCCATGAATACCTATTGACACATTCCTGGCATTTTCCCTAATTCAGATAGTGTTAGCAGCAACCTGCCGTCCCAGAGTCCACTCTTAGCAGGAAGTTGACTTCCAAGGACAGCTGGACGTGGCCCAGCTGATGCCTGAGCTGCTCCGGCTTGGTGAACCTGTGTCCTGTGTTCCAGCTCTCTTCGCTCTGGTTTATGGGTGGTTGTCAGCTATGGTGGACAGAGTTCCTGTGTCACAGAGGACACACCTGCCTGAGGTCACTTATTAACGCCCCATTTTTTTTTCCTTTCCTGGTCTCTAGGGCACCCCTAGGCTTGGAAGGAAGACATCTCCTGGTCCCACTCACCGAGGTTCATTTGATTGATTATGTGCAAATAGCCATCCATTTCCATGCCACCATTAAGCTGCTAATTGTTCCTGTTGGGGTGACAGACACTGAATGTATATGTGTTGTGCCTGAGCTCACCAGCAAACAGAACGTGTAAGCTGAGCCAGCAGGAGACGGCCGGTGGGCACCCACCGCCTCCCCTCTGGCCACCTTCGCTCTGTGTGGGGCACACTTGACCCCAGTCGCTGTTGCTGTTGAGTCTCTGCTCCGTTATGTACAGTTGTAGGAAACTGTAACCTAACCTGTACGGGCAACTTCTATTCCTCCTCTCCACCCCGCCACCACTGCTGAGAAGTATCAGGTTCTCACTGGCGTGGTGTTTTAAAATTTTCCACAAGTATTTATATTTACTAATGTGGAACCACTGGAAAGCTCTTTGAAAATTCCATTCCAGGATGGTGTTGCCGATTTTTTTTTTGTCTTTTATTATTTTCAAGTAAGCAAGTTGAGATGACATTGATCATCAGCAACTTAGACCTGGGCTGGTAGGTTTCTGGTTTCAAAATAAAAGATGGAACTCTAAAGAAGTATCAAACTTACAAAAGGAAATCTCTTCGGTTGGTTTTATCTAGGTGGATGTATTATGTGACTTTTTATATAAATGGTATCTATATAAAATTGACACAGTATTTTCAACTTTTATATTCCATGGTCATAAAAGACATGAAGAACTACATGTACTAGTACCATATATTCATTAATAATTGCACAACTCTAACAATAAAGGTTGAATTGTATTAGAGGAGTTGGCTATATATTTGCCTCTAGACAAACATAGTGTAGTTCTCCACGTATTTATGGATTCCTTTATACCATGTCACACTTACTTTGGTATTACATGTATTTAAATGTTTGAAGTGCCTTAGACTCTTGCCATATTTTCAAAATAAACTTTCATTAAGCTCTTTACTTGTCCCTGCTTCATCTCTGACAGCTGTCTGCCCCCATCCCATTGACTTACAGCAGTGGCAGCGTGAGCTGATGGATGGAGTGCGCATGGAGGGGGAGTGCCCGGTCCGCTGGTCTTGCCCTCCAACAAGAGGCGACATCTTCTGAGAGCACTGCTTGTTTCCCCAGCTCTGCTCATTACTCAGGTTGCACATCATGGGTCTGAAGTTTATTAGGCAAAGCACTCGTGAAACAGGTAATCTCCAAGGGGAGCCAATGAGTTAACTTTTCTCATGTACAGAAGCACCAGTCCTTGATTCTAATTTTGGGTGCAGCAGTTGGGTAACTGGTTGAAACCTGTAGTGATGAGAAAGGAAAGAGGCAGCCAGACAGACTGTTTATTTCAGCGTGCTGTTGGCCCAACAGCACCTGTTTTCAAGTCCTTTTTAAAAAGCAAAGGGGATTGAGTCCATCTCATTAAAATGAAGAAGCACGGTGGCCAAAATGCACTGTAGGCGTTTCAGCAGAGTTGCTGTTGGTGGATTTTAACCCAGGTCGTTTGTACGAGCCAGGTGCTTTGGAGAAATATCACTGAGGCTTTTGTTAAACCTTTCTTTCCCTTCTTTCTCTCCTTTCTTTCATTAATTCATTCATTATTGAGCTTGAGAGAAAGGCCAGAGAGCCAATTTTTCCAACAGGTGTGTGTGTCATCACAGGGCTTGCACTGGAAAGCCTGTTTCACAGGCTCAGGGGTTTGCATCTTTTAGAGAATCTTGGAGGAGCTGTGAAAAGCAGTGCTGGCAATTCAAGCCAACTTGGGGTGGTAACAGATGCTCTCCCAGTATAGGGGGGTGGGGGGCACATGGAAGGGCCATCCTCTTCCATGAACCATGAGAGAGAGGCCACAGCTACCTGGAGTCATGAGTATCCCCTCCATCCCCCACTCCCACCCCAGGACAGATCTGCTAGCTCTGGGATTTAGGCCAAATTTCGGTTCAGATAGTTATTCTAGCCCAAGTCCCTTCAGATCTGAAATAGCACAATAAATTAAAGCAGAAGAGTGTTTGCATTTGCAAAGAAAGCAGGATTGTGTGTGTTCTGCCCCTGAATGGCACTGCATGCCTTTTGAGTAAGGAGGGCTGTACCTCAGGTGGTTTGTCCTCCTGGGAATTTTCTTTGCTCTATTTGAGAAAGGAAGGCATTAACATTGTTGGGGCATGACAGAAGGAATTCCTATATCTGCATGCTGCATTTCAGATTCCTGGTGCTAATTTTGAAAAAAAAAAGATGAGTGCTTGTTTTATCCCGGAGTGAGGTCTTACTCAATACGCATCTAACTTCTGGGGAAATTAAACTGCCCTCTGCCTTGTTTGCTCTGCTAACCCTGGGCACTTTGAATGCTTTTTATTTTGGGATCTTGGCACACTATATAAACCCAGCCTAATTCTCCCCATTGGTACAGCCTCAAGCTATTGAAGCACGAGCCTATAAAGGGATTTGTGGTGGGATGCTTGGGCAAGGTCCCCAGGAGAGGCCAGGCAGAGGGCTGAAGCCGCCTTGTTTCATTTTCAGCTTCAGAGAAGAGAAGGCTAAACCTGTAAGTGACAGAGAGCCGCTTTTCCAGACACCCTTTCTCTGGAAATTAAGAAGCTGCAGGCCACAATCCACCCCAAGACAAAAGGAATAAAGTAGTGGGAACTTTGAGGCTTTAATATTAAGAAAGTAAAACTGACAACTTGTCCTGCCCCTTTATGACTAAACTCTGTGCTTATCACAGGGGGTGGGGTCTTGCTTCTGGAGAAAATTGCCCAGAACACACTATCTAGCACTAGTCTTCCAAATAAATGAGAAGTTGGGTCCATACCTGTAAATGACCGATACCTCAATGAAAACAATTTTATCCCTGACTGGTAAGAAAACTGCAATTTTTCCCTCAAAGGAAATAATGAGCACCCTAACCATAATCTTGCTTGAAACCCTCTTGGGTCTTTTTGAGGGAAGCCTGCTGCAAGCAGATACTTTTCTGTTTGTGATACTTTTGTGTGAGCTTTTCCCTTCACAGCAAGCATAGGCATTTCCTGAGGGAGGGAACTGGTGAGACTTCTGGGCCCCACCCTGTAGATTCTGGTTCCCAGAATCTACAGGTCTGGGAATCTGTGTCACTAAAGAGCACCCCCAGTGTTTCTCAGTGTGGCCCTTCACACTGAGAATTTTATTACTCCCGAATTATGAGGCACTACCCTTATGTTCTTCTCTAAACAACTTAGGTGGGGTGGGGAGAACTATAACACAACAAGAAACATTACGTTTAGTCTTTTATCTTTGATGTGTAAGGAGCCAGCATAATCTTTGTGTAGTAACTATCCATGTTCAGTGGCATTTCTGTATCTCGTGGAGTCGTTATTTCTAGAAGGCCAAGAACCATGGCTGCATTTTCCTGTGTTTGTGGGGACAGGAGGAGGTGGCCCAGTTACATGAGTGACAGAGGTTGAACAGGCATACAACTCTTGGAATGTTTTCCTAGGTTAATCTTTTCTTTCTCCACTTCCTCGTGAAGCAGGACTATTCCTACACAGGAAGAAGGCCATGACCCATTGCTTTGGCTTTGGAATAAAGATAGTTTTCTATTTTCTTTTCTACTGAAAGTACAATTTTTAAAGCCCTGGGCCTTGGCCAGAGACGGTTTAATTCTACTTTCTGCCATAAGGAAATTACTGATCATATGTTTACTCTGTTCTTATTCAGCATGGCTGTAATTTAGAAGCCAGCTGATTATAAAAATATATCTAAAGTACATTTTGCTGAAGATGATTACCACAAAAGGATGTGGCCACGGTGTCCTAGAGCTGCACACACTCTCACTCCCTCCCGCCAAAGTCACTGCCCATTTCCTGAGGGGAGGACTTGGGAAGTCGCAGTCAGCTCTTTACGTGAGGCAGATAGAGATAGTCAGCACTTCTACTGGTGTCCCAAGGCACCTGGCCTGAATTCTGGCAGGGATTTTGTAGAGACGCTGGAAAGCAAAATACCGTGTTTTATGGGTGCATGCCTGTACAGATGTGTCTGATTTTCAGGACATTTGGGGAGGAGCTGGCATTTAAGAAAACTAGCTGCCCACTGCCTCTCTGTGAAAACCTTTGATGACTTAATAGGCAGGGAAATGGGTGCTATATCCCTAATTTGCAGATAATGAAAGCTGCAAAGGAATCTTCCTAGTACCAAATGCCAATCTTGCATTTGGGCCAAAATAAATTTTACACTTGTTCTTCATTCCCCAGCCCAGGAAGATCCAGTTAACCCAGCCCTAGACCCACCTGAAAGGGTGAGGCTATGTGATGGGGAGGAAGAGGAAACACCTGAGCTACAGGTGGGCAGGAGGTGCTTTGCTGCCTGTGGTATCAGAGCTACATAAAGGTTAGCCACAGGAGATCAAGTGTCAGCTGGGCAGGCTACGTATTTCTTACGTCTCAGGCAGCAAAGAGATTCTGACTATAAGCTCATCTGCTCTGTTATGAAATGCTGAATGTGCTTAAATAAACAGGGAATAAGGACAATATTCATTAATTTGGTTGAGACCCGTAGAGTTCAGAGAGCTTATGACCCAACCTTGTCCAAAATATCTCTCTCTCTCTCTCTCTCTCTCTCTCTCTCTCTCTCTTTCTGACTATAAGCTCATCTGCTCTGTTATGAAA